TGGACTTAGGATACTTGCAAGATGTGAACTTCATCATGGATTCAGAGCCCGCAACACTCAGTCTCCTAGATTTGGTCTTGGAGATTCGCAGGTCGATGGGCTACCCTGGGACGAAGATCATGGGCAAGCCATATCACAAGGGCAGGACAGCAAGAGTTGAACGACAAATCCAAACAATGAAGCATCAAGCTATGGCTCTTGTGATGCATGTCGAGGAAGCCATTGGAATAACGCTGGAGGAAACACACGTGTTGAGAGCATGGGCCTTGGTTCACAGTTGTTTCTTGTTGAACAGATTTCATGCTCATCGTGCTTTACGTGGAACACCTTTCGAGATCGTGTATGGCAAGAAGTACGACGGTAAGTTGATGCCTTTTGGAGAATTCTGTTTTGGATTGAAGAAACCTTCAAAACAAAAGGGTGTCAGTACATGGACAGGTGGAATTTGGGTTGGCAAAGATCAAAACGACATGAACATCATTGTCACCCCAACCGGACAGTTTGCTTCCAGGTCAGTTCGACGGTGTGCAACACCGTGGAGAAAGGACGTGATCAACGCATTGGTTTGCAGTCCTTGGCTTAAACAGAAAGGGCCGAAAACACCAGCTGGACTTGGAACACCTTTACCAGTGATCATGGAGGCTGGTGGATATCGACGTGATCCTCGAGAAGGAGAACAGGTTAGAGATCAAGATGCTTTGGATGCAGAAGAAGCAATGTCCTCAGAGTATGCACCTACTACGCCAGGAGGAAAAGCGCCGGTTACTCCCCCGTTGCTGGACGCAGGTGTGATGCAAGAGTTGAAAGAAGCTAGTTCGCTCATTGATGACATTGAGATGGCAAGTTCATTGAAACGAAGTGCAGGTGGAGAAGAAGGATCACCACGAGCAAAAGCAGCACGTGGTGAAGGCTTGAATGCTAGTCCTAGTAGTGGCCGAGAACACCTATATGCACCTTTGTTTGCTGGACAGGTTGAGATGAAAGAGCATGATGATGAACTTTGGGAGCAAGAGGTCGAGCAGAGTTTAGGAGATGACGAATTTCTTGTTTCCTTGGATGAAGAGCATGAGTTAGATTTTCATGGACAACAACCCCCGGAGGTTTCAGACGAAGAGTTGCAGAGGCTTGATGATGAGGCCATGTTGACAGAGGTAGACAAGTTGAAGTCACTAGGAGTGGTGAAAGAAGCTAAGAGTTCAGAAGTTGATTTTTCCAAGGTCAAGTTCATTGACCTGAAAGAGGTCTTCGATTGGAGGTTCAGAGAAGGAGCGTGGAAGAGACGCTGTAGGATAGTGGCAAGAGAATTTCGATCAGGAGCAGCAAGCGATCCTGAGACATTTTCACCTACTACGGCAACGTCTGCAGTGAGGCTTTTCTTTGTGATGCATCTGAACTTTCATTGGAAGTTGATGAGCCTTGACATCAGTGACGCGTACTTGACAGTTCCGCAGGTGGAGCCTTGCTATGTTGAGTTGAGGCCTTGGATGAAAGAAGTGCTGAATTTACAGAACGATGTTTTGTGGGAGTTGAAACGAGTTCTTCCAGGACAAAGAAACGGAGCAAAACGTTGGTTGTCTTCATTTTCGGAGGTCCTTGGTGAGTTGGGCTTCGAACCTTGCATTGTGATGCCTTCCATTTTCAGACACAGAGAAAAGTTGATGGTTGTCAATGTTCACGTGGACGACATCCTTGTTGCTTTAAAGTTTGTGTCTGATGGCGAGTGGCTTTTGCAAGAGCTGAGAAAGCGATACAAACTACAAGTCGAAGGACCAGTCCCAATTGGCCAGACAGGAACAGATGAAGAAATTGGTTATTTGAAGAAACGATACAAGTTCACACCAGACGGAATCTTTGTGAAACCCAGTGAGAAACACATCGATGCATTGGTGAAGTTGTACAATCTCAGTTCAAACAAACCAAAATCTACCCCAGACCATAGTTTGCTTGGCCAAGTGGATTGCAGCGAAAGTCTAGAAGACTACTCCCCGGAACGAAGAAAGTGTTTCAGAAGCGGCCTTGGTACACTCATGTATCTTTCACAGGAAAGAATAGATTGTCAGTTTGCAATCAAGTCATTGTCATCTTGGTTGTCTTCGCCGACTACGACCGCAGAGAAGTGTCTAGTTCATTTGATTTTGTATTTGAAAGGAACAAAGAACATGTCATTTCTCCTTTCCTATGAAAAGACAGGCAATACAATGGTAAAGAAGCTGAACAGCATGAGAGAAGAGTACGAGACAGACGACAGACCACAAGAACATGTTTTTGAGCTGTTCACGGATTCAGATTGGGCCGGAAACGCACCCACAAGAAAGAGCGCATCTTCAACAATTTTATGTCTGAACAGTATCATTGTTCACAGTCATTCGCGAACCCAGAAGAGCATAGCGCTTTCATCTTGTGAAGCTGAACTACTAGCACTTACAGGTGGGCTGAGTGAAACATTGCTGATCAAAACCATTTGGGATTTCATGGTTTCTAGTGTTTCCAGGACGATCGTGAGAACAGACTCGAGCAGTGCGAGGCAGTGGCTTCAGAGAACAGGTGTCGGCAGGTTGAAGCATTACCATGTTCGTCTTATGTGGACTCAGGCATTGATTCAAGACGGCTTGGTCGAAGTTAAGGCCATTGCGACGAAGCTGAACATTGCTGATTTGAACACGAAGAAGTTGAGCATTGGTAGAAGGAGTTTCTTGATGTTTTTTCTTCAAGCAATTCTTTTGAGCAACCAAGACACTGAGTATGAACGTGTTGGAGCTAGAGAGTATTTTGAACATGTGGAGGACAGACAAGCAGTTCAACTCGTGAAGACAATGGTGTCGAAGAGAATCGGCAGGTGTGTCTTCGGAACCTTTGCAGGACTAGGCATGAGCTTGCAAGGTTGCATGGCAAGTGAAGAGCAACGAGCAGAGATGATTGGTACATTGATTTGCTTGGCAGTTTTCGGATTGTTGGCAGTTGTTGGTTTGAAGATTTTCCTAGAGACGCAGAGGAGAAGAGGTGTTGAGCAAGGCGGGGCCACTGGAACCCTGCATGAAGAGGATCCACCATTCGATCCGACAAAGCAGATGTTCGATTTACATTTGCAAGATGATATCCGCAGAACGTTGAAGTGGATTGACATGAAGTCGGAGGAAGAGCACCATACGTGGACAGAAGAGTTCGATTTGAAAGAGAAGAGAGGGATCATCCTTAGCTTGTTGAGTGTGATACTCAGGTATCCAGGAGAAAGCACACGAAGAGCAGTTCGACAGTTGTTGACTGATATGGCCATTCCGCAGACAGAGATTCCAGAAGAAGAAGAATCAGAAGCAGAGTCAGAGGACACAAAGGTTGCAAGGTATTTGAACTTGCGACTAGAAGAGTGCAGCGATCCAGAGTTTTGGCAATCCTTACACCATAGAGACAGTTCAGAAGAGATCATCGAGTTTGAGGCAGCTCCGGAAGAAGAGCAGGCAGCAGCTTCATCCGGAGATGTGGTGATGACAGAAGTTGACAGATACCAGAAACGATTTGAAGTACCAGAACCTGATAGAGAAAGTGCAATTGATGAGAGCATTGATGAGAGGATTCGACGGCGTGTCACCTACGCCAGACATGTTAGACAGGGCAGAGAAGATGCTGAACCAGAAGAGGAAGAAAGCAGAAGAGCTTCGAACATTGAGCATTGAGCATTGTACATTGGTGGTTGAAATGTGAAATGTTGCATGACACGACAACTGGAACTACGGTCGAATTCATTTGACTTTTGAATCAGTGGACGAGTTTCATTGAAATGAAACGTTAGTTTCGGAAATAGCACTCAGACCGATTTCAGTCCTACATTGATGATGTAGGTGAGTGCCAAGTAGGAAAATCCAAAGCTCATTCCGCTTTTGATTTTAGGCGGGGTGTTAGCTTTTGCTGTGTAACTAGATGTACAGGGAAGTGCACAGTTTGCCAGTTGAAAACTACCTTACTCCGCTGTAGCGCTTGGGTCAAAACCAGGGCGGTCGCGTTCATGCTTGCTACCTAACAAGTTTGCTCCGGAGCACTGCCAGGCAATCGCCTTAGCGATTGCCCTGCTCTATCCACCGCATCCAGGGCTTCCAGGCCACCCGAGGCCTCACAGGAGGACGAAAGCACTGCTCTCCAGCCCTGTGGAGTTGATAGTAGCGAGGAAGACTCCTCTTCCAATGCATCGGAATCCCCCGTCAAGCGACGTCCGATTGCCAAGGCCATGACATGGAGGGTCACAGCGAAAAAACTACGCCAGGCCGGAGGTTACACTGAACATCTGGGGAGTATCCCTGAATATGAGCAGGGAGGCGAGCAAGAGTACACCATGGCTAATGCAGTAGCTGTGAGATTTGTGCTTTTGGAGTGCGAGTTTTGCACTTCGAGTGTTTGAGCAAGCGTTCCTTACCGGATCTTTGTGTTTCGAAGTACTTTGAGAGCTTTGGAGAGCATAGCTCACGGAATGTATATACAATGTTTGGAAGCTTTGTAAGCAGAAGTCTTTGTAGCTTTTGTAGTGTGAATGTTTTTTGAGCAGTTTTATGCATGTTTGAGTGCGTTTAAGCTCGACACTTTCAGTGTCTCGCATGGGAATAGCTTGTATGCAGGAATACCTCATAGCCTTTTGTGCTTTACTTTGGCTCAAGGCCCAGAGAGTGCGCGTAAAAGTGGTGCGAGTGCTTTTGCGTTGCTTGTGAGCTGTTGCACGTGCTTTCGCTTTGTGTTTAGGACGTTTGTAATCAACTCACTTAAGGTAGTAGGTTTTTCAGGGAAAGCCGCATCGCAATCTTTTTCAAGAACTTGCAAGCCCACTTGGACGAAGATCCAGGAGCGCTGTCTTGAGCTTTAACAATCGACCCTCTCAGAATCCCTTGCGCTTCTCCAAGACTCTCTTGGGCTTTGCCTTGGGCTCAGATGAAACCGCAACTTCCAACTTCCTCTGATACCTGGGGCTTGGATGAAGCCGCATCTTTCTCTGAGGCCTCAGGCTTCTTCTCTTCTCGATGTCCATTTCAGTCTGCTTGGATTTGGTCATGAGAAATTTGATGGCCTCTAGTCTCGGGATCAGACGACAGGGACGCGCTCACTGTCATCCGCTGCTGTCTCTTTGTCATCCACCCTGGCACAGGGCCTCAATTGCTGACTCTCACTCGAGGAGCCTGCGGTGGAACTTCAGCTTTGACCGGATGTTCAGGTTCAGCACTCTTCGGGAGGTGCACCGGCTGCAACTTCCACCGCCAAACCACGACAGCTTTGGACTCAGCCGTGCAGTCCGATTGCCAAAATTGCGAGGCTTGCAGGTTGGGAGCACACACCGAGTGTGCCAAGAGTGGGTTTTTTGTGGCTGTTTGTATCCTGTGAGAAATTGTTTCGTGTTTTGTTGTGCCAAAATTGTCCAAGCAACGGAACTCGTGGGACGGTTTTGTCAAGAACATCAGTGGAGATGCTGTTGAAGATGCTCGAGAGCCGAATGTGCCGGATTTTGCCAAGTTGCGTTTGAGGATTCTGTCCGAAAGGGTTGGACGGTCGTGCAGAGCCCAGATGAGATGTACTTGTTCCATGAGACGTCAGCGACAATAGTCACGGACATCACATGTGGGTGGTTGTCCCCCTGCGTCAGATTGCATGCCCGCAGAAGATGTGACAGCGCTGGCTATTGGTGGCTGCAGTGAAGGGATGGTGGTGATGTTGGAACGGACACGGAGCTTGGGTGTGTAAAGTGTGAATGCGAGTCTGAAATTTGAACGAATTTTTCCATTCGTTGTAGGTCCATTGCTGAACTTCTTGGAGGTCTGGGCTTGGATATTGGCAGCAAGCTGTGTAGCGGAGCATCAGTGTGTTTCCGGTGGGGTAGAGATGGTCACCTTGGTGTTGCAGGAATTGTAAATCTGTTGCCGGCTGATCATGACTGGCTTGGTCTGCCTGAATGTGGAGTTGGGTGGTCAACGAATGGGATCGGAGGGTCCACGTCCTATTCTGCTTGCGTACAGTGGTGGAGGCCGTGCTGGCGCAGTCCGAGCAGGCGAACAGCCTTCAACCTCAGCCACTCCCCACCACCACCTCCGCTGCAAATGCCCATCATGGAGCGAGCGGGGTTGCATTGGAGCATTAGGATGAATTAGTTTCCTGTGGTCTTTTTCCTTTGGAAAAGGAATTGACGCGCGCGCGCGCGCACGCACCCCAAGAGCGGGCAAGCTTCAAGGTGTCACGTGCAATGTGTGACAGGTCACTTCGCAGGATACGCGCCAGACGCGCGCGAATTTGGTGCATAGTGCGTGGTGTCATGAAGCACTCGGGGACGGTTTTCGCTCACGCGTTGATATTCCTCAAGATACACCAGGATGTGCTTCGGGATGATGAAAGTCCAAATGGTAGAATGTTGACGCTTGTAGCGCCTGGAAAGTATGGCGCAGCAAGCCGGAAGGTGTCGCGCCAGCGGCCAAGCACCGATTGCATCCTTCAAATCATTCAAGGTATAGACGGTATAGAGGTTAAGTTGAAGTGTGCTGGTCGTAATAGTTGCCTGGAGGACATTGCAAGGTTGACGGTTCCTCGATTGCACAGCGCCATCTGCATCCGTTCGTCTCGCAAAACCTTTTTTGGTTCCAGGAGCAAATGGCCCAGTCAGGTGTGTGCCAACGAATTTTTAAACAAACAAAGGCTTGCATGACATGTCCTGATATCCAATTTCGGCCATCAGATCGCACAATGGCATGATGTGCGTCAACTATTTGCTCTTCAACCAACAGACAACCCAACAACTGGAAAAACGGACACATAGCACATTCATTTGGGGACAAATGTGCGGTGATGCTGGGTATGCAGATTTGTGCTAGTGCAATGACTGGCATTATTATAGGTCATAGGTTGTTTTGAAGGAGCCCAGCTAAACAAAAGAAAACATCAACGATCGCAATCGCAGGACATCAAACTGTGAATTCTCGACATGGTGGAATCACGTTGTCATCAACGGAACTCCTAACATGTTTAAATATGTAATCCTTCGACGGGAGCCTCTCAGGTCTCCTTCTTAGGCTTCCATCAGGAGGCGGCTCTTCAGAGTAGCGTTCTTCAGAACAGCACGAAAAACATTCCGGACAAGTTGGTGATTTTCGGTCTAGATTGCCGGTGATGCTATATTTAAGCTTTAGCAACATTTGCATCATATGGTATCATTTGTTCTAAAAATCTGAGACATGAGGGCATGGCTGCAGGCTATATTGTGTGTTTTTTGTCATTTTGATTGGGATGAGTTCTCATGAAGAATGTCTTTGAAGTTGGTTTTGTTGCATTTGAGTCAAGCTGTTTAAGCCTTGCTGCATGTTTGTTTGAGCTTAATTTTGGTTTGTTTTGCGAGTGAACCCTTTGGGTGTCACGACCTCCGGCCGCATTTGCCGCATTGAAAGCGGCCAAGAACCATGTGCATGTACCTCAAACTGTTTATGCCACAAAGGCCTATTTGTGTACTATTGTTCATCAAGTGGAACACTCGAGGGCAACAGATCACTTGGTGAAGACCGTGTTGCATAGGAGCGCTTGCATTTGGATCGAATGAATTCCTTTTTTGGCAATCGCTGGATTGGATTTAACGTGGTCATGCGCCCATTCCAGTCTTTTGCTCGCATGAAGATTCAATAGCGCGACTGGTGCAGAAGGTGTGACAGGCTGCAGCAAATTAGCATTTTTGAGCCTTTGGGACGCGTGGCTGCGTGGACAGGCACGTTGCTTTGCTGAGTCTCTTTTGATAGGTATGAAGGCTATGTTGAGAAGCGGCACTCCTTGTTTCGACGTTGACCTTGTTTGATGGAATGACTTCTCTACACTTGTCCATCTCAGGCCATGGCATTATGGTTGTCCCGGATTGCTCGATCAGCTTGGCACTTGCTGCTTCTTGTTTATGTGGGGAAAAGGCCACATATTTGGTGGTGCTCCAAATCACATATTTCGCTTGAGGCCATCGCGCCTTTGGAACGAAACATCAAGCCAGATGAGTTCATATCTTTCAATGGTGGAGGACTGGATCTCCTGTCACACATTGCAAGAGATCCTAAACTATGAAATTCTACAAATGCAATCTGCCGAAGGACTGCATGGAGCCTTTGAGATTCCGAATTACAGGCAGGACTTGCTTCAAACTTCAAGCTTGTGCCAAATATTGGCTACTAGCAGTACATGAGGATCATGAGGAACATGGGAAATTGGGTCCTGCTCTTTAAATCTGTTTTATGTAGACGGGAAGGGGAAGATGGTTGAAGCTGTTATGTTGATGGGCGATCTCGGAAAGATACGCCTTTCTTTGAGGCGAGCTCCTTTCTGGAAGTACTTCTGGGCTCAGCACTTCGTGACACGACAACACGTTTTCAACGTGCCTTGGCTGACAAACAGAGAGGAATAGCCGTGAATAGCCTTCATTTGACACCCCAGCGGTGGAAATGCAGGTGCACCACACCGGGTACATCGTGCTGTGCGTATTTTTTTGGTGGTCCGGTGCTCAGGGTAGAGTTCTGCTAAGCATAGCAGGCGAGAGTGGAGGGATTGTGCCACATTCGGTCAAGATATATTCTTTTTTGAGCGCTGATGCTTCCCTGAAGGACTGGTGCTTTTTCAACAGCTCCTATGGAGCGACGGGAGAAGTACTACATGCACTCGCCAAAGTCGAGTTCACAGATTGCTTTTTTTGCCCTCGAAACATCCACGCCACCTCAACGTGGGATAAGTGTTCACGAGGGAACAGGGAACAGGGAACAGAAATAGTGTGCACTTTCTTGCATTTGTCGGTGTAAATCTATTTTACTTGTGGTCCGGTCGCCCCAGGTTCCGATTGCAGTCAGCGTATGCAAATCCAGGCGCACGAGACATCAATGTTGGTGATGACGATGTTACAAATAACTCGGGCTGGATGAAGGCTTCATGATCGCCAGTCCTAGAAGTAGAATTCTACCGCTGTTTTCTTTTGAAACATCAACGGCTTGGAACCATTTGGAGGGATTGTTTGGTTGGACTCTTCAGGCACCCGACCAGCAGCAAAGATCGCCCAGGAGCAGGCGAAGGCCATGAGTTTGCATCGATATTTTTATTGTCATTGTTGTCATTAAAGTCGTAGCTTGAGAAGCCCGGCTTCAGATTGTTGTGCATGTGGTGGGCACAAACGCATCCTGCGTCTCACTCTTTCTTTCTTACAAATTATATAGTGCATTTCATCGACACACCTAAGCTCGGATGCCAGTTGTGCTGTGCTGGTATTGCAACATCACCAGCATTTTTGCTTGTAATTGAGCGCGTGATTTGTGCATCATAGTATTTGTAGCATGCCTCTGAATGCAGTTTTCTTTCGCAAAAGCATTGGCCGGATTCCCTCTACACAAAAAAGTCAATCCGTGGACGGTTGCGCCAGGTCCGGTACTTTTACAGGGGACACGACCATGCCTTCACCCTCAATGAGTCATGGGCTGAAGGATGTTAACAACTGAAGAGAAAGGCCTTTACCTCCAATCATTTGATTGTGTTTCTCTTTGACTCGTGCTCAGGCTGAAGGACTATTACTTCAAGCTCCGTGAAAACTGGCTGATTCAGTGGCTCGAGCTGCACATACCCTTCACTTTAGGAGAATGCTCCAGGCATGCTCTCTCTCTCTCTCTCTCCCCTCTCTCTCTCTCTCTCCCTCTCCCTCTCCCCCTCTCTCTCTATGAGGCACTATCCTGGCATCCAGTATCCGTTTGTGCATCGTCAAACACTCAGTTTGCAGGTCTGCTTAAATTCTTCTTCATTTGTTTGGCATGATTTTCTCTTCAAAAAGCCTAGGTCAGATGATCCCGGAGAAAACTGCAGAGCCATTGAAGGTGGGCTGTTGCCGCGAGGCTTTTTGCTCCTTCACCTGGCAGCTTCAGAATCATAGCTTTCAGAGAAAACATTCTGGTGCAGGTTCCAATTTCAGATCCCCTCCTCCCTGGGCACGGACATTGAGAGGCTGGCCTTCGTTTGCTGCATCTCTTTTGCTCAAGAAGCGTGTATTTACTAGATGGGGTTTGGGAAGATGCTGAGTAGTGACCAAGAATCTACACACCACATGTGCGACCTTTGAAGAAGTGTTGCGAAGTGCTTGCTTGCCTGTTGCAAGTCTTGAAACACCGTGTTGACTTTGGATGGACGATCGGGAGGAACTTTCACCTGACCACTCAGGAGCATGATACCCGTGTCTTGCATTTATATATACATATAGATGCGTGTAATGTAGTGTCATGTCGTCATGTCATGCAATGCAATGCAACGCAAATCAATCTAATGTAATGTAATGTAGTGTAGTGTAGTGTAGTGCAGTGCAGTGAGTAGTGTTATTTTGCATTATGTCGTTTTATGTTTATATACGTCTATGTATGCATATTCCGCAGATCACTCATTTTGGCTTAGGTGGCTTTCTTTTGCTTTGAGCGTCTCAGGTGGACTCGACCTCTGAGTGACTTGCCACCAGTCGATTGAGTATAACCAAAGTCTTTCAAGATGTCCAAAGGCGGCGGTTCTGTTTGATTCAGTCTGCAGTTTACGTGTTTTGATGAGTTTGACTGCTTTGCTTCACAGAGGAATGAGGAATGCTTGCATTTGGACCTGGCAAATCCTGGCACTTCTAGTTTGGCCTGGACTGATGAGGCTATATGTATCGACAAAAGCAAATTCGATGATGACGAGCTCTCCTTTCCGGATTTTGATTGCTTCATCTCACGTCTAAAAGTCATAGTGTATGTGCCAAATGATTAGCTCTGGCAGCGATTTCAGCCCAAGCCCTTGAGATTTGTGCACGGTCTGGTTTGGACATTTGCAAACCTTGTTTGCTTTTGCCAGTTGCTTTGCTAATACAGTTGATTCAGCACATTCTTGTTCGTTAATAGCAGTGGAACCGCTTGCCATGGCTTCTCGTCGCAGGCCGGTAAGATTGAGCCAGATTGTGAGAGGCAGATTGAAAACACAAACAGGGTTACGGTTAGAGTTGTGTGGGTACGTTCAAGTGAAATACAGGGTGTGTAAAAGTGTTGATTGGGAGCAGATGCAGGATTTTTGTCCATCCCGTTTTGTAGATTCTGCTTGAGTGGCCAGAACCTGAGCAAGAATCCTGTTGGATTGAAAACAGTTAAACAATCACTCGTAAAACTCTTGCCTTCCATTGCCATTCATCATGGTCACGCCACCAAGCCTTCGATCTAATCAGTCACAACATCTGGCCATCCTTTATCATAGATTCGTTCTCTTCTGTAATTTATTCTTGCATCTGCACAAAGATCAACAGAGTTGTGCCCCTAGTGTCGGCAAGGATGAAAGAAAGGTTGGTTGATGAAAGAAAGAGTGGTGAGAGTATGTGAGAGTGTGCTTTTGCCTACATCGCTAGTAGGTTGGAGGCCATCGCTAGTAGAATGGAGGCCATCGCTATTAGGTTGGAGGCCATTGCTATTAGGTTGGAGGCCATCGCTAGTAGGTTGGAGGCCATCGCTAGTAGGTTGGAGGCCATCGCTATTAGGTTGGAGGCCATTTGTATTAGGTTGGAGGCCATCGCTATTAGGTTGGAGGCCATCGCTAGTAGCCCTCTTGGCCCGAGACCTCCAGGTTGTGGCCACGGTGAGGGTGGAACCCCCCCTTGGACGGGGGTACCAACGCGGGCCCTGGATTTTCATTTGCCATGGAAGACCTGGACCTGGAACGAGGACTCTCGTGCATCCTGCAGGAGTTCTCGATGTGGGGTGACTACAATGCCATTCTGCCTGATAGGCCCAGCCTCTTGATCCAGGACATGAGATTGCAAGCGCCATCGGACTTGTTCACCTTTGAGGGTGTTCATCTGGTTGCTGCTGGAAGAGGTGCGGCTGAATTCAAGATGGATTCAGTTTGGATTGGCAGTGATACCCCAATGGCGCACAAGATCCAACCGCTATGGCAAACAGATGCTAAGCCTGCCATGCACAACCTGGCTCTACAGGGTTTCATGGACAAATGTCTGTTGTGGAACGTTGAACTGCAGTATCCCCCTCAGACTCAAAGGGCTGATGTTGCTGTGGATGCGCACTCGTGCATTCTGCCATTGCGGAAAAGGAAGACTGGTCCCATCCGTACCCTGCACCTATTTGGAGGAGCTTGGGGAGGCTGGTCATTTGCAGGCCAGATCCTTTCAGAACTGGGTGTGGAGATGATTTCAGGAGCAGTCGAATTGGACTTTGCTGCAGCACGCACTTATGCTATCTCCCATCGATGCCCTTTGCTTACAACTGGAGAGGATGATCCCCTTCCACCATTGGCATTACACTCCTTCCCTGAAGGATGGTGTTTATGGGCAGATGTTATGGACTCATCGTGGTGGGAGGCCGCTGCGGTTTGGGGACCTGAGATCATCACGATATCAGCCCCATGCCCACCGTGGAGTGGAGCAGCAGCTCAGCGAGGATTGCACTCTCTGGATGGCCAGTTGCTTTTTAGAAGCCTCGCTCTCTGCAAGCTGTTGAGGCCCAAGCTGATTCTGATTGAACAGGTGGCTGCCTTTCATGCTCACCCACATCGACATTGGATCCAAAAGGCGCTATGGTTTGCTGGATACCAACTACGCTTCTCCCATGTCATTGAGCTTGGAGATGTCATGCCAGTCAGGCGAGCAAGATGGCTGGGCATTGCTTATTTCATCCATGAGTTTGATCTGAAATTCTCTTCTTTGTTTTTCTGGAATATTGAGCGTGCGGTTACATTGGAGGAGTTGGATTGCATACTCCGCTGGCCATCACACATTCGTCAGAGACTAGAGGTACCAGAGGACGCCTTGAATCAAGCCCAACAGATTCCACTGGAGAGAGGCAACAAACAAGCTCGCAGATGTACCTTGCGGAGGGCAACATTAACAGTTTGCTCCACTCTCTGGCCCCACTCCTCCAAGCTACGTGGTGCAGGAGCATGAGCCAGATCAGCATCAGCCAGCGCGAGGAGGTCACCATCAACAATGAGATCAGTAAAAGGCTTCGGTTTGGGCCAAACTTGTTTGAACAGATTACCGGAAAATCCACAGAGGTCGAAGAGAACCACCTTGTGAGCATCAAAAAGTGTTCCTGCAACACACTAATGGCTTTAAGTCGCGGCAAGAGGATTGGCGAAATAAAGCCGTATCAGGGTTGGTGGCTTCCTTGCAAGTCGGGGGCATGTTCCCACCGTACATGCTAGAGTGCAACTGTTGCAAATGCAAATAGCCCAAAGTAGCTAATCGATGAGCTGACGGTAGCTTGTATACATCTGCATTGAAATCACCAAGAATGATGGCAGGCAAATTAACTTGCTGAACTCTCTGGGTCGCTGTGGCCAAGAGCGCATCGTTGAACTCCTGGGCACCCGAGTTGGATTGGGCCAGACCATACATAATGATGAGCTGAATCTTCCACTCGTCAACAATCGCATGCAGCAATCGCAAATCAAGACCTGGTTGCATCTGCTGTGGACATCTTGCTAGACGAAGAGGTGCAATGCAGAAGCCAGCGCGCCCTGTGGCTTTTCCTCTCAAGCTGATCTGCTGGCCCTTGCTCTGAGGGAAGGAGCCGCCGTGGTGAAAGCAGAATAGTATCCCAGCTGTCGCAACTGGCGTCTTGCCAAACATTGAACAGGCTGCGTAGCACTTGTTTCTGAGGCACCAATGAAATGACAATTGAATTGCTCTCGTAAAGCGCCAAAGGCATCAGCCTTGTTAGTGAGCGACGTGGGATTACAGATTGCAAATCTAAGGTCGTCAGGACCTGGATGCAAAGCTTCTCCAAATCGAATTCCCCGTCCAAGAACACGCCGAAACAGCTTAGCCGAGCCAAGACGTGTTGACCATGAACGAAGTGCGAAAAAACACGCAACCACCGTAGAGGATGTAGGAAAGGACCCACAGCACCGCCACAGTGAATTGACAGCCGTCCTGCCCCATCCCTCATTGGACTCCTTAGGCTTCTTCCGCCCAAGGTTCTCCTGAAACATCTCCTGCAGGGCTGCTAAGGTGCCATGAATGGCCTGATTCTCATGGCGCATGGTCTTCACCAGTGAAGCCTCCAGCGATTGCGAAGATGCCATCAACTCTTGCGCCACTTCCTTCTGATGCTCATCAAAACGCAGCCCAATGGAATGCAGGCGATTCTGTGTATCATGTGCTTGCTGTCTCAGTTTCGTATCCAGCTGAGTGATTTGCTTCTGGGTTTCACTCTGGAAGGCTGTGGTGGAGGTCTCGATGGAAGCGATCCTTGCCTCAAGGGCAGTGAGCTTGCCTGTTTGCTCCTGGAACTTGGATTCTGTAGGCCCAACAACTGAACGAGGAGCAGCTGAAGTGACAGGACGACCATGTGATGCCAAGTACTGAGCCCAAGGATCAACCCCCTGAGAAGGCATCGAGCTCGCAGCAGGGCCCGTCCAGCTAAGCATTGCGTCACCAGCAATGATTGGTGACTTGCGATCCTCAGTCTTCGGTGGCAATGGTCGTGCAAGTGCCGGAGCTGCTTTGAACAGAAGAATCCCACTTGTGCCACTTGGGGATATTTTCTGTTGTAGCGATCAGCCATGCTCGGGCTCCGACTTGTCGAATTGGCCGGATGCTCCATTTGTACGTAAGGGCCCACTGGGTCAACTGCTCCTTCGACGTGCCGAAGGGAAGAGGCTGCACCTTGACCAATGCGGCACCGTTCAGGTCTGGTGGTGCTTCCTTCGTGGGGCAGATAATCCGCCAGGCAGCAGAGAAATCTTCCTGTCTGAACCTCAATCCCATCCCCTCTCGGCCTTTCACCAGGCCTAAGCATCCAACCGTCTGCTTGGAGAGCGAAGTTAGGCGGGGGATGTCCCCCTCAGTCCAAATCACGCGGTAGTTCTGGTCCTGCCTCCCACCCAGGCCCTTGGGCGCGCAGAAAATTCTATTGAATCCGCTAGCTTGGAGCACTCTGGGGATGTTCTCGGGAGCCACGCTGCCGTGCAGCTGTACC